CGTCAACAAATGCGAATTGCGAAGGCTCGCGAGGTCTATGCTGATGTAGGGCGACCATCCTTTGCGAACTTCCTACGCATGCTCAAGTATCGTCAGATACCGGACGTGCCAATAACAGAAGAAGATGTGAAGAACATGATCCGCGCATATGGGCCTGACGTCCATGCACTACGTGGGAAAACTGTTCGCAGACGACCCAGCGCCGTTCCATCCGGGAGGCGAATTTTGCCACCGGACTACACCCAGTTGATAGTCGCTAGCGTCACAGTAGACGTGAAAAGGTTGATTATGGTCTGGATAGGCCAGAAATGCATCCTTTGAGAGTACAGTTTTGATGTGGTCAAAGGCCTTTTGACATTCGGGTGTCCAATCTAATTTCTTCTTGTTGTGTCCAATACGTGCAGTCAAAGGTGCGAGAATGTGTGAACGTTTCGGAAACATGTCATTGTAAAACGTTACTGCGCCAATAAAGGAACGGAGTTCCAAGACAGACTTGGAAGGTTTGAGTCTGAGGATCGCATCAATCTTCTTTTTCCACGGTTTGATTCCAGTAGGCGTGAGCCAATAACCAAGCCAATCAGTTTCTTGCACACAAAATTCACATTTCAGCAGATTGCAGGTAAAGCCATTAACTTGCAACATTTGTAAGATTTTTCTGAGGCTGTCCAAGTGTGAGTTCCAATTGTTGGAAAAGATTCCAACATTGTCAATGTAGACGTCTGCTTCTTCGAAGTCAGCAAGTAGCTGTTCAATGTGTGCTTGAGCAATGTCAGGAGATTGTTTGACGCCCATAGGAAGACGCGTGTAACAATAGTTGCCGAAGGGTGTGACAATGCCACAAAGGTCCTTGGACGCTTTGTCTTTTCCTCTGGGTCGGTATGAGATTTCTTGAAAGGTTTTGAATTGTCCCTGTGATGGACACCAGCCGTGCGTTTCTTCTTTTTGGATTCGATCTTCTGGTGGAGTCGATTCTTCAATTCCTTGTTGTGTGCTTGTCCAGCCTTGCGTTGCATGTAGGAAGTGATGCTGGCAATGGAATGGCTGCCGATGGTACTGTTGATCTCCAGGAAGGCGTCCTTCCAAGGCTTGGGGTGAACATTGAAGAAAACTCTCTTGAATTCTGCTTTGTCAAGAGGGTCAAGAATTTCAGACATGTAAGGGATTGCAGAGTTTACCTTCTTCATGTACATTTGATTTTCCATGATTGTCGCCGATCTTGGCTTGTTCCAGGTACGGAGCTGATTTAAAACTGCAGCCGCGTCTTCTTCAGTACATTTGGTCAGGATCCAGTCGCGGACTTTGTTTTTCCAGTTCTCAACGGATTCCTGTTTGGGAGCGCTTCCCAAACTTGTCGTTTGAGAGGAGGGAGAGCCTTTGACCAAAACTTGTTGAGGGCTCTGCCGAAGAGCTCGTCATCGTTCCGGCGGACTTTGAGAGTCACATCGTCAAGGAGAGTCTGTGCAAGTCCACACACTTGTGTAGGGACATCTGGGTGATGTCCAACTTCTTGAGGTCGATGGAAAAAGTTGAATGGTCGACATCCACCTTGACTCTGAGGTTTTCTCCTTTGATGGGTTCCTATTGCATAGGGAAGACCTGATAGTCGGACATGATGTTGTGCTTGAAATTGAATCGGACTTTTTGATCAAAAATGCCGTGTCCCACAAAAGGCTGAGGACTAACTTAGGCAAAGTAGCGATTGAAAGATTGCTAAAGAGATATTATGAGCTTAATGGAGAACTCCTTCCCTGGACAGAACGCGATAGCCACACTGGATACACACAACTTCCACTGTAGTCTTGATAAGAATGTATTTGTCAGGCTATCGCCACCTCATTGCCACATCACTGTCGGCTTGTAGCATAGGTAATAGATGTACATGACATTTGGCAAGATTGCTTTTGATGACAAGCTCCTCGGTAGAGCCCTCAACAAGTTTCGGTCAAAGGCTCTCCCTCCTCTCAAACGACAAGTTTGGGAAGCGCTCCCAAACTACATGGACATGGACAAGGAATCCTTTGAGAACTGGAAAAACAAAGTCCGCGACTGGATCCTGACCAAATGTACTGAAGAAGACGCGGCTGCAGTTTTAAATCAGCTCCGTACCTGGAGAAAGCCAAGATCGGCGACAATCATGGAAAATCAAATGTACATGAAGAAGGTAAACTCTGCAATCCCTTACATGTCTGAAGCTCTTGACCCTCTTGACGAAGAAGAATTCAAGAGAGTTTTCTTCAATGCTCACCCCAAGCCTTGGAAGGACGCCTTCCTGGAGATCAACAGTACCATCGACAGCCATTCCGTTGCCAGCATCACTTCCTACATGCAACGCAAGGCTCAACAAGCACACGACAAGGAATTGAAGAATCAACTCCACCAGAAGATCAAATCCAAAAAGAAGAAACGCACGGCTGGTGTCCACCACAGGGACGATTCGAAACCTTTCAAGAAATCTCATGCCGACCCAGAGGAAAACAAGATGGACAAAGACGAGTACCACAAGTGCGTGGCGGAACTTGCAAAGACAGCCAAGCCGACCAATATTTGCTCGCTCAAGCCCAATCATAAGAATCACACTATCTCCGAGTGCAAGGCAATCAACAACTACAAGGCCCAAATGAGCAACAAGAAGTCCAATAGCTTTGCTGTCATCAATCTCCCTGGAGATAAGCCGGATGATGATTCGACCACCTCTAAAGAGACCGACTCATCCAACAAGAATGGTGCGTTCTACAAGAACAATGAATCTTACTATGTCCCAACTTTCTCTCACCACATTGATTTCTGTCGCTTCAACAGCCTGAACAACATCGTTGATTCAAACGTTCTAGACGATCTTAGGTTATCATATATGTCAAACGTAAAAGACGCCTACGAAAACGGTGCAGAAGTCCCCGAGACTATCAGTGAGAAAGTAGACAT